GCAGATGACCTTCTCCAGACTGGAGATGGAATCGCCGCCGCCTAGCATCCACGGGGGGCAGGGGCAGCACGCATCACCTTCCCCGAAGAAGCGCCGCACCAGCGCTATCGAGGCATTGCTCTCGCCAGCGCGACGCTCGGAGTTGTCCCCGGCTGCTGCTGTGGAGGAGGAAGAAGCAGCGAAACCTTCGTCGGAAACACAATCCGAAGACGACGACGACGGCGGGGTGGGCGGCGATGGTAGTGACGATCCCCGGAATAGATTAGGGGGCGTTTTGCCCGGGGTGTTGGAGGTGCTTGCCGGAGAGGACGAGGGGCAGGAGGAACCGGAGCAGTCCGAAGGAGGGGAGGGGGGGGAGAGGGCGCGCCTAGACGAGGTGTCGCTAGCTGGAGGGGAGGGGGGACGAAGGAAGGGAAGAGAAGTGGGAGCCGGGAGGAGAGGGGGTGGGAGCCCGAGGCTGCGGGTCGAAGGAGAAAACGTCGAGCTGACGGTGAGAATTCAAGAGATGGGACAAGATGGGAGACAAGATCGAAGGAATGAGGGAGGTTCTTTATCTCGGCGCACGTTCTTGACCGTCCAACTGTTCGTTGACGATTTTTTTTCGTTCGGTCATTTGTCGACGGTACTTTTTTCCGAACGGCGTGTCTGCCTACATGCTGCCAAAAGAGATGTGCATATGTCCACGAACAAACTAAGGCCCACTCCCGGTCCAGCAACACTACTGGCGAGGGCCGCCACTCGACGAGCGTGTCGAATCAAGCGAACACTTCCAACTATTTACGTACTTCGGGTCTCTCAGAATGCGTCACCCCCAACTCCCCCACGCTCCGTCCGCGCTGTTTTTTTTTTTTCCTGTTTCTCTCGGGTTTATCACCCATTCGCTGCTGTTTGCCGCGACAACGTGCGTGGAAGAAACGAAAAGACAACACGTGGTCTCGCCCCTGTTTCTTCTCCTCGCGAAAACTCGACGCTGACAAACCTCAGGTGGTGCAGCGGGACGCTTTGATGCTGCTGAGCGAGCTGTGTGACTGGTCGTTGGTCGACGAGCGGACGCTGAGTGAGGAGCTGGGCGGAAGCGGCGGCGGCGGCGGCGGCGGCGGCGGCCAGGGCGATGATGATGAGAGACCGGGCGATGAGGTGGGAGCCGAGGCCCCTGGCGCACGAGACNTCGAGAGTGATACTGGAAAGCAAGGTAGACCTTTGTTGTTGTGTTTTTATTTTTTTCGTTACAGGGAGTCACGGGAAGGATATACATAACTGCAAGCATTCTTGCGCATAGTTTCGGTTCGTTGTTGCGCTCGCCACGGTTCACGCTCGGAGGCTTACATAGCCTGTTGTCTTAGCTTCCTCTCTCTCTCTCTCTTCAGCGCTCTTTCGTCGGTTATCTTCTCCCTCCCACCCCTGGCCTGTTTTCTTTTTTCTCCTTTTGCCAAAAAGGCTTACAAAATTTCTGCCCTCCACGGGTTTCACCTTACCACCACCGACCACGTGTTTTTTTTTGGGTGGGGGGTTCCGCAAACACTACGGCCGCGAACGCCGAACGCGCCAACCCAACCGCCATCTTTTCGCGGGCCTACGTCTGCAAACACAAGACGGCGGCGCTAGAGCTGATAGTGTCGGTCCTGCAGACTTATGGAGGCCCTAGGTTCCGCGCTCTGCCCGCGGCGGCCACCCTCGTACGGGGCGAGCTGTGCGCGGCGCTGCTCCACCACTGCACCTCCAACGTCACCGGGGTGGTGTCCCTCAGCCTACGGGTGTTCGTTGCGCTGATCAAGGGGTTCAAGGTGCGACAACGGGCCGTTCAAAGGCGATTATGGTCCCAGAGAAGTAGACAGGGGGGGGTTCGCGGGCGCATCAGTTGTAGTCATATTAGTCTTTGCAGGGATTTTCGTATTATGTAAACATGGATGAAGCATGCAATTGGGGAAGTTGTGTTAGGGTTACAAGAGGGTTAGGGGATAGGGTCTGCGTCCCCCCCTCCCTGGTCCATCATCCTCGTATACTTATCAATCGCGCGCAGGTGATCCGTTCTAGTGTATCGGCGGGGGGGGGGGGGNGGGGGACTCTTCTTCGTCGATGGAGTATCCGGACCATAGGGTCCCTGTCGTGGCACAAGCTGGGGTTTGATTCACCGAGGAAGGGGTGACGTCTTGCTTGTTCTTTTGTGTATCGGCGAGGGATTGGGGTACGAGAGGATAGCATCGCGGGATGCGGAGGCGTCGTCAGAATGGAGAGGGCGACGGACAACGGAGGGTTATTGCTGGGGGGGATTTCGTAGTGTGTGATCCGAAGTTTTAGCATGATGTGCGCCATCCTCTGTGTAGGATGCTTTGGACGATAAAAGGCGTGCACGCGTGTGTTGTGCTGCAGTGTGTGGTGAGGTGCAAACGTTCGCAGGACAGGCAGGCACAACAGCGGAGCAAGAACGCTGCAGAGGGTGCTGCGGCAGAAACATGCCCGTAGCACCGAAGACAAGCTTTTGTCACACGCGTTGACAACACCCGCTGTTTTGTACTCATTGCCTTTTCACGCTCTTAGTTGTTTTGCGCACCCGTTGCCAACTCTTTTGACGTGTAAGATTGATCACGATTTGTTCTCTGCTGTTTGTGTTGTTTTTTTCGCTTCTGCTATCACTGCTGCGGCGCCCCCCCCTTGTACGTTTTTTTTTGGGGGGGGGGTCGTGGAATTCCAGGACCATCTGAAGGCGGAGATCGAGGTGTTCATCACGTCCATCTTTCTGCGCATCCTGGAGAGCGAGCACTCGGCGTTCGATCACAAGGTTTGCGCAAATTCAGGAGCTGTCTATGAACGGGTGCCACGAAATTTCACACATTTCATTCGTTGATTTCCACGAACCACGGGTACGACTCTGGTTCGGGGGGGGAAGCGAGGGATTTCGTATGTTGTGGTGGTTTTATTCCCTTTGGCGTCTTTCCAAATGTGTTTTGATGCTTACACGGTGGTGCCGTCGCAGCCTTTTCTGCTGCTGGTGGTGCCCTGCTCTTTGAGATGATTTGGTCCCTCACGCGTCTCTCTCCCTCGTCCCTTCCCTTTCTCCTGTCCCCTCTGCTTGTCTGTGCGGGGACTTTGCCTGCCATCCAAACCAACACTACCAACGTCGTCGACGACAACAACCAGATGCTTGTTTTGGAAGTCATCTCCGGCCTTTGCCGGGACCCCCTCGCCCTGGTGGAAATGTTCGTCAACTACGACTGCGACCTCCAGGCCATCGACCTCTTCAAAAGGATCGCCACAGCTTTAGTCAAGGTGTGTGTGTGTGAGGGGGGGGG